AAACAAACAAACAAACAAACAAACAACAAACAAACAAACAAACAAACAAACAAACAAACAAACAAACAAACAAACAAACAAACAAACAAACAAACAAACAAACAAACAAACAAACAAACAAACAAACAAACAAACAAACAAACAAACAAACAAACAAACAAACAAACAAACAAGCAAACATAAACAGTTTTTTCTAACACAACTTCGTCCTCTTCAGGGCACTAGGTTTTGCTAAAAGTGAAAGTGAGGAAATTGGACGTCGCAGTAAACGTCTTATTGATGCTGGTCGAGTTTGGTATTTGAAACAATTTGATTTGGATGCTTCTCTACTCTATTATGTCGACCGTTCTGTTTCTTTGGAAAACGTCGCACTGATTGCGTGGAATACGGGCAACAAAGTCAAGAAAAAAGGTTAGAAATTTTGGTACATTGCTAGTAGTGAGGTTCATATACCTACACAAGACTTACCTCCATCTGACTGCTACTGCCTACACTCCTGACGTGCCTAGCTCACCCTCATTGACCACGACTAGTTAATATCTTCCAGGTCATTCATTCATGCCTGTAGTAATCGGGCATGCGAGTTACCGAGTGAATTGGGTAGCAAAATTTGTCTATTATGTCGTCACGTACAGTACATAACCAGGGTGTCCACCGGCCTTGAAAATCCCGGAAAGTCCTTGAATTGGGAAAAAACTTCCAGGACTGGAAAGTCCTTGAAAATCAGTAGAAGTCCTTGAAAGTCCTGGAATTAATTTCCTTAACCTCCAACTTTGCCAACATCAGTGATTTTGATTAAAATTACTGAATAAAATGAATTATTTGCTGGTTAATAAACTCTAAAATCCGTGCCATTTTCATCAAAGATTTTCCCCAGTTCTAGGTCCTTGAATTTACTGAATAAGGGTCTTGAAAGTCCTGGAAAAGTCCTTGAATGTCACCTTCACCAAAGGGTGGGCACCCTGATAACGTTGTGATAAATAATTTGCATTACATTCATATAATATTGGATGACATCGATAACGTTACAATTTACAAAATATTGAAATAGAAATGATACAGTATGTTAAACATAATAAATAAAACTGGGAACAACAACCGAGATACCCTGTCAATCTTTTGTGCCATATCGTCATCTCTTTTCATCCCAGTTCCCACCATGGACCGGACGCTCGGATGAACTGGAGTCTTTCTTTCGTCCATTGAACCCCAATTCCAATTTTCCTAGACAACAAAATAGACACAGCATTCTGAGTGTACTGTAATGTATTTATTCAGGCGTAGAAAATATATTTATCTTCCTGGAAGCAAAATCCGAGAAAAATTCCTGTGTATGTCAAATGTAAACTTCCTGCATATGTAGATTTCAGAGAACGTATGGTGCCTCACATTGTAATAAACTTTAATGGTGATCTCAGCACAAGACAATCTCGATTTGCAAAATCTTTTGTAAACAATTTGTACATTATATAGCATTCCAGTATATAAAATGAGAAAAATTTACCACAATATGTAAGAGAATTTCCTGCGATGATATTTTTTAAAAATTTCTTGGCATACATACTGTACCTGTGTATATATACAAGAAGGGATGGGTTTGACTATAACAGTTAAATTAACTTAGCCTTTAACATCGATATTCCCCAATGGGGCGTACCTTATTTTTTACAGTGTCTTACAACAAACGATTTAACCTGTTAATGGGGAGAGTCTCACGTAAAGTTAACAAGACTATCTGCCCTTTATCTTGTTGGCCCATTACACCAAAATAGCCCTATAACTCTATTATTTTGCTCAGTCTAATACTAGACTTATTTTACTTGTCAAGTTTCATGGACGTTGTGGTTAATGAGTTAATTAACTTTATATTTTGTAATGTTTTTTAATAACTAATTTATATTTAAGATTGATTTTGCTGTGCGGAAGGCTAAATGAGATAAAATTTACCGTTTACATACTTAGACTGTAAGAAGTTCAAAATATCTGCAGTATTATTTACCTTACGTGTGCGCATAAGGAAAAGGGACTGGGAACTGATTCTCGGTTCCAGCACTTTGACAGCAGAACTCTGTTGCAGTTTGTAAAATTTATAAACGACCAGTGACTCGATAATTGATCCCATCAGAAAGGCAAGACAGAAGTTGAAATAGAAATCAATGTACTTCGAGTATGAGACCTGGAAAATTCACAAAGAAATAAAAAGGCTTTGTCAGAAATGCGTATTACGCTATACAAATTTACACACACTGGCGTGGTGGTAAATGGATCATTTCAGCTATGGACTAATTTTTGATCTAGACAAGAAAGACGAAATCTATCATTCTAGCTCAAAAGAGCATCCTAAAAGTGGTACAATTGCAAGGTTTGGTTGCGAAATGTTGTAAAACACGAAACATATAGCCCTGTGAAATTATCATATTTTGAGTATTTTAGTATTATGCGTGGAAAAATGTACCACTTTCGGCTCAATAGTGGTGCATTTTTCCGCGCGTAATACTAAAATACTCAAAATTTTCTAATTTCACAGGGCTATATTTCCGTATTTTACAACATTTTGGTACCAAATTTAAGGATGTTCTTTTAAGCTATAATGATAGATTTCGTCCTTCTTGTCTGGATCAAAATTTAGTTTATAGCTGGACTAATCCATTCCAAAAGGTTTATCTAGACTCTAGTTTACCTTCGGCATATTCGTATTGAGAGATCCTTGTAGTAATACAATAGTTAGAATCAGAGTTACTCCAATGGATATTCTATCCCCCACACAATCTGCTTCAATCCAGAAACAAACCCAACTCAGCAGAACTATATATGAACATGGCATGTATTGTTGGAGAATATAGTGACCAACATCTCGCTGGAATCTTATTGCCACCACAAGATAGTCATAGTAACCTAAAATGATAAGTAATAAGTAAGATGAACCCGATTGTGAGTGATAAGTAATTAAATAAAATAAAATGATAAGTAATAAGTAGCAATGATAAGTGATAAGTAACATGGACCCGATTGTATATAGCTTGTGAATCAAGAGGATGTAAGGGGGTGTCCGTATTGGAGAAGTGTTCGTATTCGAGAGATGTCCGTATTAGAAAAGTGTTCGTGTTGGAGAGATGTCTGTATTAGAGAGATGTTCGTATTAGAGAGGTGTCTATTAGAGAGATGTCCGTATTAGAGAGGTGTGTGTATTAAAGAGATGTCTGTATTAGAGAGGTGTCTGTATTAAAGAGATGCCCATATTAGAGAGGTGTTTGTATTAAAGAGATGTCTGTATTAGAGAGGTGTCTGTATTAGAGAGATGTTCGTATTAGAGAGGTGTCTGTATTAGAGACATGTCTGTATTAGAGAGGTGTCTGTATTAGAGAGATGTTCGTATTAGAGAGGTGTCTGTATTAGAGAGATATCTGTATTAGATAGATGTGTGTATTAGAGAGATGCCTGTGTTTATAGAGAGGTGTCTGTATTAGAGAGGTGTTCGTATTATAGAGGTGTCCGTATTAGAGAGATGTTCGTATTAGAGAGGTGTCTGTATTAGAGACATGTCTGTATTAGAGAGGTGCCTGTATTAGAGAGATGTCTGTATTAGATAGATGTGTGTATTAGAGAGATACCTGTATTAGAGAGATGTCTGTATTTATAGAGAGGTGTCTGTATTAGAGAGGTGTTCGTATTAGAGAGATGTTCATATTAGAGGGGTGTCCGTATTAGAGGGGTGTCTGTATTAGAGATGTTCGTATTAGAGAGTTGTCCCTATTAGGCAAGTGTCCATAAGGAGAGGTTCAACTGCTGTATTTATTTACTAACCTCCTATGCCATAGTTAACAGTATCCTTTCGTGTTTCAATTCCTGTGACGGTATATCTAGCAAGCTTAACGTTTGGACTGATTTGTACCAACGGATCGTCGAGCCATTTTTTCCAGCTTACAGCCACGTCCTCTCTTGTGTATTTATCTGCAGAGAAATTTGGTATTAACTGTCATATAGATACATTTCTGTGAATTGTGAATGTTGGTGGTTTGATTCGGATGCACAAGTTTGGGCTTTCTTTCTTTTGGGCTATGATTTAGATAATAGGGTATTTACAGTCTCAAGATTTGGTTGGCATCTCACTCGATTGAATAATAGTGAAAAGGATATTGTAGATGGAAATTATCGAGTGGAAATTGACCATTTGCGTAATGGACTAAATTTTGATCTCAACAAAAATTTCATTACAGTGTGAAAGAGCATCACAAAATTAGTAATATTCCAAAGTTTCGTTGCAAAATGTTGTAAAATGCGGAAAATATAGCCTTGCGAAATTTGCAATTTTCAGTCATTTTAGATTACAAACTGGAAATTGACAGCCTCGAAGGGTTTGGTGCTGTCAATTTCCCGTTTGCAATCTAAAATGACTGAAAATTACAAATTTCGCAAGGCTATATTTTCCGCATTTTACAACATTTTGCAACGAAACTTTGGAATATTACTAATTCTGTGATGCTCCTTCCAGCTGTGATGAAATTTTTGTCTAGACTTGTTTAGTTCAAAATTTAGTCTATTACGCAAATGGTCAATTTATATACATTTAGTAGACCTAACCAGGCCTAATTAGACCCAACTATAGGCCCTCTCGCAGGAATCGAACTTGGGGGTTTGCGACGCAGGGACTTACAGAGGTCAGTTGTGGCAGGAATCTAACTTGCGGCAGGCGACGCAGGGACTTACAGAGGTCAGTTGTGACAGGAATCTAACTTGCGGCAGGCGACGCAGGGACTTACAGAGGTCAGTTGTGACAGGAATCTAACTTGCGGCAGGCGACGCAGGGACTTACAGAGGTCAGTTGTGACAGGAATCTAACTTGCGGCAGGCGACGCAGGGACTTACAGAGGTCAGTTGTGGCAGGAATCTAACTTGCGGCAGGCGACGCAGGGACTTACAGAGGTCAGTTGTGGCAGGAATCTAACTTGCGGCAGGCGACGCAGGGACTTACAGAGGTCAGTTGTGGCAGGAATCTAACTTGCGGTAGGCGACGCAGGGACTTACAGAGGTCAGTTGTGGCAGGAATCTAACTTGCGGCAGGCGACGCAGGGACTTACAGAGGTCAGTTGTGGCAGGAATCTAACTTGCGGCAGGCGACGCAGGGACTTACAGAGGTCAGTTGTGGCAGGAATCTAACTTGCGGCAGGCGACGCAGGGACTTACAGAGGTCAGTTGTGGTAGGAATCTAACTTGCGGCAGGCGACGCAGGGACTTACAGAGGTCAGTTGTGGTAGGAATCTAACTTGCGGTAGGCGACGCAGGGACTTACAGAGGTCAGTTGTGACAGGAATCTAACTTGCGGCAGGCGACGCAGGGACTTACAGAGGTCAGTTGTGACAGGAATCTAACTTGCGGCAGGCGACGCAGGGACTTACAGAGGTCAGTTGTGGCAGGAATCTAACTTGCGGCAGGCGACGCAGGGACTTACAGAGGCCAGTTGTCAAGCTCTAACCACAAGTTCACTTACATGAACTAAATTGTACGCTACATTCTTGTTCGTCCAATGGGAAACGATACAGCACCATGAAGCAGCTGACCTTCGCAGTAATTCTGAAACAAGACAATGTAGTTTAACCATTAGACCTAATACCCTTCTTTGGCAAGCCAGATCGTCTGGTGTTTTGGAAGAGTTGAAAAATGTAAGTAGCATGCAGCTAACTGGGTTAACAATTAGAGACATTGACAGGTATAGCAACCATTATCTTCCAAGTACCTTTACAGGACGAGTAAAATCGTCAGGCGTTATATCCTGTAGAATAATTAAGTTGACAGTCAGAACGGACATTTTGTTGAATTGATTTTGCATGTTCATATCTGATTTCTAACCCCTGTTCGTCAGTATTTAGTCCTTGAATTTGCTGGTACATGACCTTGAATGTCCTTGAAAAGTCTTCGAATTTGACTCTTCCTCACATGCACCGACCCTGTGCAGAACATACCTTACGCTGTAAAAGAGTGAACCATTTGGCCATAATCGCAGCATCTCGTTCTTTTTTGTGACCATGTGAAATTCAGCATGTTTACTGTTCTCCATAAACACATCAGGTACCCACACTTGGCCTGGGGGCTCGACCAAGATATGTTTATCTGTGTTTGTTGCATTAGTCAAGTGCGTGAAATTGAGTCGCGGGTCTGTCCACATTAGACGAAGATAAAAGTCAATGTCGAATTCCTGTAGAAAAGAGTATTGTTTTATAACGATATTTTGAGTACATGCAGTAATAGCTCACACGTAAATGATCCTAGATTTTTCGAACATTTGTATGGTATATTCCTGTAGCCCACTGAGTATGGAATGTAACTTTTTTTGTACACCGGACACTATAAAACACATTTTTCTTGTGCATCAAACTCATCCATTGGTGTTTAACAACCTTAATATGTCACATCATATAAATAAGACTTGTCAATCCGTAGAATATCATCTTCATAACATTAGACGTATTCGAAAGTTTTTTAAGCTATGAAGATAGAAAGTCTGTGGTACAAGCACTAATAATGTCGAGGATAGACTACTGTAACAGTCTTCTATTTGGTGTCACAGATGTACATCTGTCTAAACTACAACGGTTACAAAATACAGCAGCACGTCTTATCTGTTCTATCCCTAAACATGAAATATAAATTTATTATTAAATAATATTATTTCCAAGATATATACATAGGAAGATGTAAGAGTCTCCAAAAAATCGCTAGTGGAAAACCGGCTTCAAGGGTCTTTTCAAGTCGAAAACGAACGCAATTCTAGGTAAAATTTCTTCTAATTTACAAACAGAATTAATTTTTCAAAATATGCGCAGTGGAGAGAAGTGAAATGAAAATCGTGCACCAGCTTGTACACCAAGATAACCTGTTGTATACAACGCTTTCATTTAATTCTGGCTGATGTAGTAAATGTGTTATACTTACCATATTTTCTTCGTCTAAACCAGACAGAGTGTTGAAATAAACGTTGACGCCAAGATCCATGGGTTTTTCTGAAAAATGATACAGTCAAACGCCTATTAATCAGGGTTCTGCCCAGGGTCGAGTGCCGGGTACCTACAGGCAAGAGGCTTGACCCCCACCCCCGCCCACCCACCTATCCGTTTTTAATTTTTGAAATTTTCGTGGACTTGCTTTTACGGTTTTTTTTTTCATTGATTTATTCACAAAGCCAAAATTCAGCCAATGACACTTTGAGATGTTTCTTGAAGACTTTTGTACTGACCGCATTTGCACTGTCTGTGGTATTTTCCAATTTCACAAACACGGCGCAAACATATTTGAATGAGCCTTTGGAAATCTCATGATTCTGTCAAGAAAATGACATAGTAGTCTCTTCCTGGCTAGTTTTCTGTTTTCCCACTTGTTTTACTGTATATTTGTGTAAAATAATAAGGATGTTAAAACCCAAACCTATTGAAATATTAATTAATTTAAGGAAACGTCGACATTTACCTTCTTCATCAGGTCTGACTCTTTTGTCATATTCATCTTGTAATAAAGTTGCAAGAATCGAAGATGTCCTTGTTTTGTAGAATCTAAAAATAACATTTTCAGATTTTATATTGATCAGATAACATTTTGAAATTTAGATAGCGTACGGTACGACAAGGAAGAATTGGCTTAGGTCGAAGTTCTCCTTGTTTCTTTCAGGGAAGTTCTCCTTATCCAAAATTTGAAAATATTGAAAAATTTTGAAGAGCTTTTAAGGCCCGTCTGTTGTCTCTTCAAATGATGACATATCCTCTTAAAAATGACAGTCTCAATAATTCATCCTCATTTCTAACTCTCTTATATTGAAGTTTCGAGATAACGTTCTTCGCGGAATATAGGTTTCTTGAAACGTTGATTTGTACATAATTGAAAACATACAAAGGAAATATAGTATACCTTCGATCACTCGACATGGTCGTTTTGTCTTCATGTTTTTTAAGCCCTCCACCATTGCTCGTCTTCACTTTGGTAACAACGTATTTTGGCCTGCATGGATAGTATTGTATTGGATTATATTGAATAACATTGCTTGTTCATATGCGAGATCATATCAGAGATAGGAACATAAATTCTATAACTGTCCATGTCAGTGTAGGCAGGGGCGAAACTAGCCCCTTTTAATTAGGGGTTAGATTAAAAATTTTCCCCGGACAGTAAAAAGGGTCTATAAATTCTATTCAATTCCCTCTGAAAGTCCTGTAAGTTACTTATAAGTCTACATTCTATCATTTAAAATCTTTGATTGCCCTGCCAATCCAGATGATTCGCCCTGCCAATCCAGATGATTCGTATTTTCGATTTCGCCCCTGAGTGTAGGTAGTGGCAATAATATAGACAAACTTTCGTTGGTGCAAAATACAAGGAGAATTTCGACGTTTCGAGCGAAGGGGTCTTCGTCTGGACTAGTCCTAGCCATATAGATATCTTATGATATCTTATATCGATAGATATAAGATATCATATATAATTATATATATATATATATATATATATATATATATATATATATATATATATATATATATATATATATATATATATATATATATATATATATATATATATATATATATATATATACACTAGATAGTGCATCTAATTATTCTACAATTCAAAAATTGAAGCCGTGATTGCAGACTCAGGATATTCCCATGAAATGAGAAGACTCGTATGTTTTCTATTTCTTAAACAGGGAACTTAAACATTAAGTTAAACCTATTCCAAATACATTTTCAAACTATTCAAATGATGAAAGTTATTGTTGTTTTTTAAGCGTTTATTAGCGAGTGGGAAACACCAACATGGCCGCCATCTTTTCAAACATGGGGGTAACCACTGGAATATTCTTGGCTTGAATTTTACTAAAAGAGATGCACTATCTAGTCTATATAAGATATCTATGATCCTAGCCCTTCGTCTCGACTTTTCGCTCGAAACGTCGAAATTCTCCTTATATTTTTCAGGTATGGTTGCGTCCCTACCAACACATAAGCTTGTTCATATTAAATTCTATAGCCCATTGATTAAGACTGGTTTATACATATCAAAGTTTCGGTGGTCCCATGCAGTAGGAATTTTGCGTAGGTAAATTGTAATTTTTGAAGGATTTGTAAGAAATGTTTGAGGAAACTGCACGACTCATTGTATATCAAAGTTTCTGTGATCACAGTAGGAATTCCCCAAAGATAGATTCTAAGTTCTGACGGATTTGTAAGAAATGTTTGAGGGAATTGACTCAGTGTTAAACACTGGTTAATGCAGTTGAATATGTAGTGGAAAGAGATAGATAGTTAAAATCGAACAACTGGCCACCAAGCAGGACAACAATAACTTGAAACACATTTTTGTGGCATATATTTTGGACAGAGAAGTGCTCGAAAATAGTTCCGGCCGAACTGTCTAGAGGCTCTCGCTAACCTACGTTTTATCTAGAGAAACAGGCGAATCTCTAGACTGCAGAGGGCATGCTTGACTCTGTGCATGTCGTTCAGCGAGTTGAGACCTAGTTGGACTGGTGAACAACTATTGGTATAGGGCACATTACCCAGGGTACTCAAAGCTGACTGAGGATACACGCAAAAACTGTAGGTTGTTCTAGAGGAACAGGCGGACCTCTAGATAACAGGGGAACAGGCGAACCCCCGTTCAGATCCGTCAGGCCGTCGACACTGAGACCTAGTTGGACTGGTGAACAACTATTGGTATAGGGCACATTACCCCGGGCCGCAATTGATAACCTGACTGACCACATCAAGTCTCTAGGACTGCTCATTCAGGTCTTCAGTTGATGCGACCTGAATGAGCAGTGATTGCGCTTCACGTGGTGATGTGTTGTCCATCGGACAGCACTTCCCTGCCAGTAATTAAATATTTATTGCCTTTTTTTTTTAACACAAGTGGGTTACAAATGTATGAGTAACATGTCTAACTATATACAGGAATGTCCATTTTACTAGTTAACAGTCCTTACAACACGCCATTGTAGAGACGCAGATTGGTGTACATGATTATTGGGAGGTGCAGGGTGGGTTTTTTCCCCCAAATTTTCACTTCTTTGCCAAGGTTTTTATCCCTTGAATTATAAACTAAAATTTTTGCCAGAGCTGTTAACGCACTGGCTAAAGTCTTGCGAATGAACAAGGCACGTCGAAACTGCGATCAAAAGTCCTTGATCAAAAGGGGGGCATTGTATGTATGCACGTGAAGGAAAAACCTTCAGGATAATTTCTGATTGGTTAATCTCAAGTTAGCATCAGTTGTTCACATGCTTAGTAGCCAAAGTTCGATTTTTATCTGATATTTTGTAATATTAACAGGACTAGAAAACGGTTCCCTTGTTCTGCTAAGGTACTTGGACCTTGTACGTACCTTGCACGGATTGATTTTTTGACGCAGATGTGTTGGCAGACTGAAAACACCCTCGGGCAAATGGAGTCTTCTAGAACATATCACTCGGCCATTAACCGCAATTTATAGCTTTGCTTAAATTGATTATTTAACAGTTTGTTCAAACATTTCTTACAAATCCTTAAGTAAGAGTACTAGATTGTCTTTATACTACACCTTAATTTATCCACATCTTACTTACTGCAATATTATTTGGTCGTCCACATACCCCTCAAATTTAAGGCGTGTACTCGTATTACAGAAACGAATTGTCAGACTGATGACAAATTCAGATTTTTACGAGCATACTGCTCCGCTTTTTATCGAACTGAATGTGCTTGACATTCATAAGATTAACTCGTTATACGTTGGAAAATTCATGTATTCCCATCATAACAAGCTACTACCTTCATCTTTTCACAACTTATTTATTACTAGTAATCAAATTCATCAATACAACACAAGAAACGCTAGTCTATATCGATCACATGTTTGTAGAAGTAACATAAAACAGTTCACCACACTTTACCAAGGTCATAAACTCTGGTGTTCTCTCCCAGATAAAGTTAGAAATGCCGAGACGATAAATTGCTTCAGGAATAGAATACTGAAATACCTGCATGAGTTATAAATTTATTTTCATGTTTATTGATGGTCTTTGGAAGTGAATCGGATTGGATTCCCCTCATGGGGTTAGCAGTGTTTACGTAAATGTGAATTTTTATTATATCTAAATTTTATGCTCAAGGAGACATCCCTTTACAAGCCTTATGGTTTCTGGATGCCTTCTTGTCATTATCACCTGACTTATCTATTTATAATCATTCTTTTATTTATTTTTTCCGTTTAATCCATCTCTTGTAAATAGAATAATGGTAATAGTGACAAATATATATTGATATATTGATATAGGCATTAAGAAGCTTGCATGCATGCATGCTGACTATGCTGAATATACGGCGTATATGATGAGCATTTTGCGCAAATATAAATAAAGTTGGTAATCGTCATTCACCTGGTGAATCTATATTAGAAAACGACTCGTTGGTTGGAACTTAAGACTTTATTTATACACTCATGTGTTAAA